AAGTGAAGTTTACCGACTCCGTCTCAAATGAGACAGTCCGCAATCGCCGCGATGGTATCTAGAAGATATGTTAAACCATCCAAGAAAGATGACTGGAATGGTTTGGGCACGGTATCCGTTGTCCGCCTCACGGGCTTTGCTAGGCTGTGCTCGATTCGGCGCCGCAGCCGACCTGGAGGCGTCGAAGAGGAGGGTACGCAAAACTTGGCTTGACACCGTTTGTAAAGATATGGGAACGATTCTTGGACCTTCGGTTTTCGGTCTACGTCGGTGGAAAAGAAAATGGGTGGAGCTTTCCAGATCAGTCGCCGCTAATTGTCACGCGTGGAGAGGTACTGTCCACAACATAACTGAGACTGGCTAGATCATGCATAATCACCAGTGATTTTCAAGTGTATCAAGTGCAAATAAGAAGAGAACAGGAATTTTCTGTGAACCTCGGGACATGATTTTCAACGTCCTCATGATTGATAAACGGCGGGACAAGCAAACGTAAATGACGTTCATGCAGTCGCAGTAAGAGCTGCGCAGGGTTGGAATCTGAAGAGCCGAACACTGTAACTCTTTGCGGCGTTATGATGTGGTGGTCATATAATTCTACTGATTATGTTCCTGCCGCCCGCGCCTTGCGCGATCGACCTCTATTTAAATGTCAGGTTAAAGACTAGGGCGTACAATTTTTGTCATACCCTCAGAGCTCCATCGTACGGGTTTCTCGATATCCAGTCGACTCGTGCTACGGCGTGCGCGGTAACTAGTACGCCACCGGAGGCGGACTACCTTAGAGGAGACTGCACTCCATATTTTTCACAGTGAGAAATCTTGCGTCAGCAACGCAAGGCCTAATCTTTCGAGCGTTTTGCTACCAGTCTCTGAGATGTGCTGCCAGAATAAACTCTAGTGTGGGGTTAGAATTCATGTACAAAACAGGACCGCTCATCTTCTGAGCCAGATAGACCCCACTTTAACTGCGACTGCGACCCACGATTTACGGCAATTTCTCAGGTGATAATGCAAACAGAATAACAATACGGAAAAAGAAGATGCGATCACTGGAACAAGAGTTTTGTTTGCCTGACGCTTCGGATTCCCTCTGGAATCCTTAATCATAGGTGATGATAACGTAGTCATGGTCATGCGCAGATGGGGTGGAGACATGCACAAGCTGCACGGTATTTGTAGTTCATAGTGGTCATCCGCGTGTGTGTGTGTGTGATAATTTTTCACTTCTTTAGCCACCACTTGGGTCTTAATTGATGCGATACTGGCTTGACACTTCGCGTTCGACTCACTAATTGCCAGTATCGCCTCGTCAACGTCGGATGTGGGCTTGATAATTGGGTGACAATTATGCCCGTTAGAGTTGTTGCTGCGCGCAGCCCTTCCCACGTGACCGATTCTCTTGTTCAGGAAACTTCTCCGTATACCGTATGGGAACGCCAAATCGTTCTCAACAATAATCTCATGAGGACGACCTTCAAATGAAAATCAGCAGTTTTGACTGCTCGTTTAGCCACTTCGTGATCAACATTTACGAACAAGACCTTGTTTTCACATACTGAAGCAACACTGTCGTAATACCGGTCTTCAAGAAAAGCTGCAGATCTTCATTTAAGAACTGTGATTTCGTAGGCTTAATATGTCCTCTCAGTCGTTTTAGTTTTTACCACGAACGAGAATCAGTGCGGTTTCTACCGAGACCAAGATAGGTTATTACAGGTTGTTCTTGCTCAACCGGACCCTTTAATAGT